CTGTAAAAACATACCAATATATAACATATATTTTCTGCATTAATCATACACTATAAAACAGTGTTAGTGTTGAATATGTTAAACAACACATTTAGAGACCATGAACAATAATGAAGAGTATAGTTATGACATGAGAGGGAAAGACGAGGAGGGGTGGGGTGCAGAAGATGGGACATTGAGGGGAATAGCTGTTTGCCCTGCTAGAGTTCCTTACGTAAGAGCATAGTGGAGAGACGAAACCAACCCATACTCGCCCCTCGGCCACAATGACATACTGCTCCGGCCCTTTCATCCCTGCTCTTCTCTTTTTTACTGCACACTCCATTATTATACCTCACAAGGAGTTCTGTTTAATTACAGAAACATCTGGTCCTCCCTCAATTATTCGTTGATAACTATTATAATAAGTAACGACAATAATTTAAATACATTTCTTTCTAGTTTATAATAAAACAAACTGGATATAATGTACATTCTTTGAATTGACTAACTGGTAATATAATTGAACATCATTCTTTTAATAACTGAAATATCTAATGCAAATATCTTGCATTAAAGATTGTTGTAAAAATGTGTAAATGTATATTGTTTTAGCTATGTTGTCAGCCAATGTATCAGCTTGTGCATCTTTATGCTATGATAGTAAAAAAGCTAGCTTAACATTAATAATCATAATAACATAGGCTGCGTTCACACTGGGCTTAATGCTCAATTCCGATTTTTTGAAAAAATTCTATTTTTTTGCAAGGCCGTTCAAATTTCCAATTAAATGCAACCTTTTGTGATCTCCTGTGTGAACATGAACGTGAAATGACCCAGAAGTGACCCGCATGCGCAGAAGAGTACTCAATGGTCAACAACGTCACTTGTTGTTTGCTGAAGAAGCTAAACATGGATGTCAACAGAGTAGCTCGTTAAGCAATATTAAAGTTATTTTCCCAAAAGAGCCAAAACAATTACAATCTTCTCATTCCTGCCTACTTCAAGGCAGAACTATGAAGTTTGTCGAATATCAATGACGTGCGGGTCGGAGACATGTGACCTGGCCATTCAGATTGAAGTCGCATTTCAAACGATCGAGTACATATCAGGGGTGAGTTTCCCGAAAGCATCGTTAGCCAACTATGGTCGCAAGTTCCGTCGTTACCAATAGACTTCAATGGAAATTGCGACCAACTTGCAAAAATAGTTGGCTAACGATGCTTTCGGGAAACGCACCCCAGATTTGGACCACATACCCAAGTGGCCTGGGTCGCATTTGAAAAGATCAGATCTGTGTCGTTCAGACTGTCATGAAAAGATCAGATACAGGTCGCACAGGGGCTGAAATATCGGAATTGGGTCGTTTCAGCCTGTAGTGTGAACGTAGTTATAGTTAATATGACAAATGTAATGTGATTTGTAGGAACTGTAATCAGGTTCCTATAAATCAGTTTTAAACCCATTAAAAGTAATTTAAAGCAATGGGATCACTTGAGGTCCTAGGGAACCCCCGATTTTGAGGAAGGATCTGATTTAATGTGACACCTGCATAAAAAAACATCTGTCTTCAAAATCTGTAGAACCACATCCAAGGCTGTATACCACGGCTGCCACATCATCAAGTTCTGACGAAAGCCATCTCAATAGACCTTATTAGCAGCGTCATGAAGGGTATGAAACTGAGGCTGTGAGGGACAGACCTGCCATGTTTCCATTTGCATCCGCTGTAAAAAAGCCCTTAGGTTACTTACAATTTTCCACAGCTTACATTGTCAAAGTTTTTTTGTCAACTGAAATTTCTTGGAAAGATGTTTTCCAGTGTTTCATGAGCAAAACAATCCAAAAACACATTAAATAACAGTACAGCTCATTGAAAAGATGCATGTCCTGTCCCTCACAGCCTCACTTTCATTCCCATTCAAAATCAAAGATGGCGCTGCTGTAAATACGGTCTATTTGAAGAATCTTTGGAAGGCTTTGTATCTTTTGTGTCACCCACAATCCTTTGCACACATTCCAATTCGCAAACTAGATTTGGCACAAATACAAGTCGGCACTGAACTCCTGCTTAAAGTGAAAGTCAGATAATAAAAACATTTTTATTACCAAGTATTTTTCCCAAATTGATTTTTATTAGTATTTTCGTGCCGTGAACGCAGCAGACATGTACCAGACATATGTTCATTGATGAGGACATCATCTGACACCATTTGAAAAGCACCCTTTGAGCCAATAACCACTGCAATGCCATGTGATTAGGCTATATGCTAATTAGTCAAACCTTGACCCCTTAGTTTTTCCCAGCGAAATCCAGGTCAATTCTAGGATTCATGAGTCAAATAATCAAAACTGTCTTTCATCTCCCCTCCCCCTCTATATCTCTCTGATGCTTGCTTGAAGTGGCCTGTTAAAGTATTAGTAAGCCTTTCTCTTTGAAAAAGCACAAAAAAAGACAAGCTGTGACAGAAAAGTGATGACAACACTCCAAGCTCTAAGCTCATCACAAAACGACAGAGCCATCCTTTATAAATCCTTATGAATATTTCCGTAAGGTTTGTTGGTGTGGGGCGAAGCAATTCTTGCCAAGAGTGCAGAAAATCTACCATGTGAGGAAAGAGAAAGGTCTGAATAGTGTGTGAAGAGCTTCCAGGGTTCTTATTACGCTGTAAAATGATGGGGGAAGCAATTTTGCAACGAGTCAGTGAGGACAAAGAGTCTTAATTAGGTGAGCTCCCTTTGGACTCTGTCATAAACAAAAGCCTCAATCCGAACTTGACACCCCCCCGATGCACACAGGGATGCTTGGTTCTCAAGGACAAAACCTACAGGCCTTGCGTAACTAAACTATTGTTGCTTGAGATCGCTACAGCAAACAGCTTTACACGCATAGAAAACAGGCAGAGGTGCAAAGAAAGTCCTCAGCAGCTCCCGACCAATGTGTGATGTAATGGTGGGATTGGGTGGGAGGCCAGAGGGAGTGGGGAAAGCCAGCTGTTTCTTTGCTGAGGACATCTGGGCATGAATGCTGTGGGGTGTTGTGGTTGGACAGATGAATGTTACAGAGGAAGGTAGAATTCCTGACACAGCCCTCATCCGTCTCATTCCAATGCTGGCGTCAGTCTACAAGCTAATTAGCTCGTTATTAAAGTGATTTTGCAGAATATTATACACCTGCTTTGAGATGTAAGCTTGTCAAATATGGATGACTGTGGAATAACAAGTAGTAGCACATAAAACAAGCGTTTTGTCAAAAGTTCGAGCTAAGACTTTTCCAACCTCTTTCTGAATCAACTTTTGTCCTCCAGGAGCTATGTGAATGTACAATACTAATTAAGGTTTATAAAGCATTCATTATTGACCAAGCACCTGAAGGCCAGGATTTTCGCTGAGTTGGGGGATTCTACAAGGGTGCCATTGATCCACTTCCTGCTCTGCAGTATTGCTTTAGTAGAGTAACCTTTCACAGAGGTCATTCACAGAACACAAAGTTAGACCACATTTCTGGGCAAAAGCCACTTTGGTTGAGTTCATAGATCTAAGATTATGGCAACTTTTAATTTTATTATTTGGTTTCAGTTTTAATGAACACATTACATTTCAATTCTGTCTGAGCATTTGGAGAAGACAAACTTAAAGTCAGCATGAAAAAGTAAGTTGTGCAAGTCTTTTATTCCCTATTGTGATGTAGATGCAAGTGAAACAGCTGATCAAACTAGAGAGGTGTCGAGCACCAATGTTTCTCAATGAAGGGGCCCTCAGAATTACTTATTTAACAAGACAGCATTGAGCCAAACAAAATTAAAAGGTTTTCCCTTAAAGTGTAAATTGCAGGTTGACCACCACAACCAATTAATGTGTACATAGTCAAGAGATCTTAAAGTAATCCATATTGAGCGGTTCAGGCCAAATTTTGTTTGAAGAGCCTTGATCTCTCTGTAGAGTGCCAAAGTTTTGACGTCACTTTGCAGGGCAAAATACGCAAGCGCATCCGGTTCCCTTGCCCTAAAGTCTATTGCTTTTTGCTAAATCACCTGAAATCTAAAATAAGTTCTGTGGTTAACAAAGCCTCTAAATATTTTCATGTTTTGAGAGGACAAAACACACCAGTTGTAACCTATTTGTGTTTTTTTTTTTTTTTTCTTTATATTGGCTTCAAAATGTATGCATTTTGAATTAACTTGTAAAGATTGTTGATAGACAAAACGTGCAAGGGTCACAACTCTAAAACACATCTTTTTTGAGATTTTCCAGAAGTCTATGGGGAAAGACCAGTTTTTCAATGGAGGGAACCCATGCACCGCTAACTTTCAAGTTGTCCTACAAAGTGACGTTATAACTACGGCACTCTATATGATTAACATTTATTATAGGATCTCAAAAGTCAATTGTAGTAAACAAAAGCCCAAACATGCTCACCTGATGTGCAAGAACCAATGAGGTTTATTCTCACATTATACAGCACATTTGAGCATCTGCCAGATCAAGGAGGTTCATTCTCACTCACATGTCAAGGAGGCTAAGTTGAGCATGTTTGTGGTAGCTAAATGTATGTGAAGTGCCTTTAGTTACAGTTAAACAAAGCCTCTGCAGAAAATTGACTTGATCCATTTGAATCGAGTATATGAACTTTTTGACGCGTTTGTGTCCGTTGTGTAGCAGTCTATGTTGACAAAAAGCTCAAGATTTCTTCAAAAGAACTTTCTTCCAAAAATGATTTGTAACCTCACAGGTTTTCACATTTTTGGGTGAACTCTGAGAACCAACACCACTACAATATTCAGCTACATCAATACTTTTAAGGTTTACCATGTTAATTTGATTTCTAGTCCTGGAAGACATTAAATACTGGCAAATAAATGTGTTGCTTTTTCATCTCATTAGGCTCAAGTATAGTTTAAACTTAATCAGCATATTAAATTATATGCCGATTAATTAGAAGCGTCTTATCCAATTTTAGAGCCCAGCTCAGTGTAAATTCTTATATTAAATAGGAACTATATAAATATAGGGACAACAAATTGATAGACGGGCATCATTTTGTTTATTTTTATTAAATGACTCTGCAGTACTGCATGACAACACCAGACAGAGCAGAGAACGAGCACATTTATGACATTTCCTCCTTGGCGAGACGGTCTTTCTTGAGGGGTCCCTGTTGGGAAGGCAAAAATAAAAAAGGTTAACAGCCAATTCAAATTTAAGATGAATTACTACACGTTTAAGTACAACTGGAGTCATGTCATCAGAGAGTGAACAGGGAGAAAGCACAAAGAGGCACTACTCCCCTGCCTCACGGAGTTTTAATTTTGCACTGGAATGGAACCCAAATCTCAGACTGATTAGCTGACACAGGTTACGAACAGTGCACTGACGTGGCTAGGATCATGAGGCAGCAGATTCATAGCATTCTTAAGCCAAGGTTGTCATTTCAGGTCAGTTGCAAGAATCGGTTTATGAGCAATGTCATTCAATTAAGATCTCTACAGTGTTAAGGTCTAAATACTACCAATTAAAGCTTCTTCATAAGGATCCAGCCAAGCATGATGCGCATCAATGAGTCAGGTCGGTCTTACGAAGCACTGACACCCTGTAGACTCAGGCCTGGCCTAATTCTGACCAACATATTTGAACCACAAGTCTGAGAGGGTGCTGCGAGAAATCACGGCGTTAGTCATGCACTTACCATGAAGTTTTTCTTCTCCTCGATGGTCTGGAAACGTCCATGACCAAACTTGGAGGTGGTGTCGATGAATTTGAGATCGATCTTCTCCAGGGCACGACGGCTGGACTGGACCAGAAGAGATTTGCGCAGAGTCAAAACCCTCTTCTTTGTTCCGATCACACAGCCTTTCAGCATGAGGAAGTCGTTGGTCACCTCACCATAGTGTACAAATCCACCCTAGGGAAACACAAGTGTCAGTTTAAAAAGCAACTACATAGTCTGAAGAAAATCAAAAACTACATTAGATAGACATCTACACACTTACAAGGGGGTTGATGCTCTTGTTGGACAGATCATAATCAGTAGAGGCGTTGCCCTTAATTAGTTTTCCATCCTTGGTGTGAAAGCCCACACCAATCTTGTAGATCTAATATTAAAAATATAAATGTATACAGATAAATATATGCACAAGTGATTCCAAAGGAACACTTGAATCCACTTCTGAGGGCTCACCTTCTTGTTGATCTCAGTTCGATGGTGGTAGCCTTTCTGACCGGCACGAGCAACAGAGAAGGCCACACGGGCAGGATGCCAGGCTCCAATACAGGCCACCTTACGCAGTCCACGATGGGTCTTGCGGGGAAGCTTCTTTGTGTGCCAACGGCTTGTCACACCTACAGTAACACATCTTTGATCAGAAAAGGCCTCTTTGAAGCTCATTTGCTTATAATATGGCAAGTGTGCAGTCAGAAGGAAGGCAGCATGGGAGTTTCCTCATGCGTTTCGGGCGCCATGCCTGACGCGATTAATCCATGTCTTTCATCATTATGTGCACAATGCTTGTCAAGTCAAAATTAAAAACATGGGAACAGACAAAATGTTGAACAAAGAGCCATCCACCTACCCTTGCATCCATGACCCTTGGTAACGCCGATAACATCAATCATCTCATCCTGAGCAAAGACATTAGAGATGGGAATTGACTGCTCAAGCTTCTCTCTGGCCCAGTCAACTTTATCAGCAATAGAGCCTCCATTCAGTTGAACCTCCATCAAGTGGGACTTCTTCTGTCTGTGGGGCAGCAGGCGCATCTACAGACAAAAACGAACATTTGGTAAGTCTTCATGACAAAATTCTTATCCAATTATAAGAGGAGTAGTCATACAACCAAGTTCTGTATACCCAGCTTGACAATGCCCAATTTAATTGTAAATTAGCACGTAGAATTTAGAAGATTGAACAACTTAATTGGGGGATATTTCACAGGACTCAAGATAAAAATATAGCCAACTCCATGGAGTCAACCTGTAAATAAGCTCACCTGTGTGTGGGCAATGATGCGAATGATCTGGCAGTACTTCTTCATGGAGGCAAAGTCTTTCTCCAGCTGCTTCTTGCCCTCCTCATCTTGCCACCTCTTGCAGTACTTGGTGAAGGCCTTCTTCTTGGACTTGTACCTGAACGCGGTAGATGAGGGCAGGGGAAAAGCAGAAAGAAAGGTTGGCACAGCCCCTTCATAGCCTAGCAGGCCAGTGGAAGGAGACTGGGCATAGCTGCTTTGCCCATCCTCATGGTAAAGGGGAGGCGTCGACAGCAATAGGTCATTTCGGCTCATGGCACAGTTTCTAAGGAGCCCTTTCCACCGGCCAGAGGAGCCCGGAGCTCATCAGGGCACAAGGCACCTGAGCGGAGCTGCACCACACCGACACATTAGAAAGGCTCAGGAAAACTTGATCGTTTAATCTGGCCAACATCTATCAGCTCCAGACTAAACATGCAAGCAATCACACGTTTTCAAAACCAAGCCTTACCAGTTCTTATAGAAGCGACGCTTGCACTCGTCACTGATGTGCTCAGCAAAGATGGTCTTGAAAGAGCGCAGGCCACGAGGGGTCATGACGTATCCAACAACACCCACTACAATCATGGGAGGAGTCTCCACAATGGTCACTGCCTCAACCACCTCCTTTTTGTTGACCTCTAAAAACAATAAGCTAGTTAGCTTCAAACAGTAAGACTTAACATTAAACAAAGCTATAATTAATGCAGGTTTAAGACTTGATTATGCAACTGCTCTCAGGACTCGACATTCAGCAAGGGATTAGAAGCCCAAATATGTCCGCCCGTCGAGGATTTCATCACTGGCAGGCAAAGTACAGCAATTTTTTACATGCAACAAGATCTTAACACTTAATCATCAACTCACTTGAGCCAGGTCTGTCAACCTCACGGACAATGTGGGTCATACCAGCCTTGTAGCCAAGGAAAGCAGTCAGGTGAACAGGCTTGCTGGGATCATCCTTAGGGAAACTCTTCACCTTACCACGATGGCGTTTACACCTCTTGCGTGGAAGGAAGCCCAGAGAGCCATGGCGTGGGGCCGAAAATTTACGGTGAGACTTGGGGAGAAAAAAAAAAATAAAAAATTCTTAGTTACACAAGTTCTAAACGTGAATACTCCCAGTATTCGGATATTCAGTACAATTCTACAACTGGTGTAATTATGCTGGACAAGCTTTAAGAAACAAATTTTCATAAGAGCAATTTCTAATAGAACAAACATCTTAAGGGTCCCCACTCAAACAGAAGGCATGTCCCTTTCCACTGCGCTACTTTTCTTGTTTTACCAATGTAAACCCGTTTAACTATTGCAGTAGTCTCTTGCACAAATCATTGTGTCATGCACAATTAGAGTTAAACACTGTGAATGGCCCATTACAAGAAAAGAAATATTCAGCAAGTAATACTAAAATTCTAAATCTCTTGAATTGCACTCTTGTTACTTCACTCCAAAAACACATTAACAGATTTTAAACTTAAGGGACACAACATGGGAACATCAAGTCTGCCATATCCTCCTGGGATCCAGGAAGAAAAAAAAATTTAGTTTGTCACTACATTGGTTTAAGCATAAGCAACAAAATGGAAAAAAAAAACTAAAGAAATATTTGATTCATGTTATGCCATGTCCTCTGTAGTGGACAAAAGCATTTAAAAATAAGTTGTGATTTTTTTTAAACCTTGTATAAAGAGGATTCTCAATTATTAAAAAGTAACAGAATAAATTGATACACCATTTTACTTTATGCAATATGTAGTTAAAATTGCCATTGTTGGGTAGTCCTGTTCATCAAAAACAAAGCATCTAATTTACTTGTCATTTTGATGCACAATGTAACAAAAAAAAAGAAAAAGTAATAAGGGCAACATTCATACCCAACATTTCATAGTGATATGGATATAATTTCTTTCCACATTCACTTGTCTCCCAGAATGCCTAATTAAGTCCTATTTTGTAACAAAATCATTGATTAGGCCTGGAACCATAATATTTTACTGAATTGTTGCCTTAAAACAAACACTTAAAACATTGGTCAGATTTAAGTGACAAAATATTATTTTCCATGAATGCTAAATTTGATCCCTAAAATAATTCAATTCATTTTAAGACCTCCAAAGATTTGGCATTGCTGGAAAGCCCTGAATGTGCTCTTTTCAGGACATTACCTAAGACTTAAACATGTAACGTGTATGGCGTCAGAAATTCACTAAAATATAAACTCCACTAACAGAGCACAAGTCTATTTCTGGTTCCCAGGAGCATAAACGGCAGCGTAAGAAAATACTGACTGCCCCTTTAACTTGTGCAAAAAAAAAAAAAAAAAAAAAAAAAAAAAGGAGTACTTCGACTCCCCAAGAGACAGTCAGGCCCTAAAATGAAATCACGTGAAGATAAACCATAATGAAAACAGTTTAACTCAAACACTGCAAATTTAACAATCGGAAGGGATTATAATATCTAACTAATGCCTTCGTGAGTCCAAAAAAAATTAAATGATTTATGTGTTAAAGCCTTTTACATTCTAAAGCTCAAAGCAGAGAAGAACGCTGCCATTTTCCCCTACGGTCAATCAAACACCATGTGTAAAAAAAAAAAAAACCTCAGGCCTAGAGATGAAAAACAACTTATAACCACATCAAATCAGTCGTTTACCTTCTATGTGTAATATATTAAACATGATGAGTCTAAAGTCAGAAGGATGCCTTTGATTTAGGTTGGATTGTGAAAACAAGTCAGGCACTCACCATTTTGTCCCCGGTCCGATTGAAAGAGATCGACTGAGAGGCGGTGCTTCTTTATAAAGCAAAACGGACGTTCGACGCGTCTGCGTCACGGAATACGCGTCTGCGTCACGGCAAATGCGGGCTCGTGCGTTGCGATCATTATGGCTCAATGTGTGCAATTTTTGCATTTATTCCTTCTGTGTCCAGATTAATGGTAAACACATGTAAGAAAATCTGTAATATGCAACCAATCTCACTTAATGTTTCTTTTTTTGCACGTGTTTTTTTTTCTTGCTATAACTCGAAAAACAAGTTACTGTAGTAGGGCAGAGAATATGAGTAAACTCTTTACTGCCCTAGTATGTCAGAAATCCATAGGTAGGCTCGACTTGTGAATTTAACGTGGCACAATGGCCTTCTTCATCACAGTATGCTTATTCCTGTTTATTGCAAGGGCTTCATGCTGTTTGAGGACTGTTGGGAAATTCATTGAGACGACTCAATGACACATCTGTACCATTTGCTTTACAGGAGTCACGTGCTTTCTATTACTATTTATCTAGGCCTACTTGTGTGTTCTAACATATAACTGACTTGTTGGTCTGACAGCTTATAAACTGAATTGAAAGGTGGTGAACTTAATAGAGAGTAGGCCTATCATAATCTCTAGAACATAATGTTCTTCTCCCCTCCCATCTTGATCACCAATCATTTGCCATATCTTTTGGTGTCCTGTCAGTTGGCTTTGGTGTTGGTATTCCTCTCATGTTTAACCCGTCTGTCTAGAGTGGAATAAAAACTATGTTCAGCAGAGTGTCCAACTATTTTTTTATTGTTATTTTGGCCATATAGTAGAAGTGGATGGGGACTGGTGACAGCTGTGGTCACCATTCACTCTCACTGTACAGAAAAAAAGTCATTTAAACATTCTGCTGGGTAACTCTTGATGTAGAACTTGCAAAAAAATGATGAATGAGTCATATTACGGCATTAAAAGACATAAGGGTGAGGAAATGACAGAATTTTTATTTTTGAGTGAACAATCATTCTGCTCGCATCTCATTAGGGCCATCACTGACATACATATTCAATTATTTTTTTTAGATACTTTCTTTCACATTCACTCAGAAATGCAATCTATAACACATGTAAATGCACAGAAATTATGCACGTTAAGTCGGCTAAAAATTAAACTTATAAGATGAAGAGGTTTTTAAATCTATTTTATTAGATCAATTGTGCACTGTCTAATCATTTCAAGTCAGAACTATGTTTACAGCAGTAGATTGTTTTTATCGGAACTAAATGCAGGTGTAGTTAACAGATCCATCCACTACACAAGGACATCGCTTGCACAAAAAAATATAAAATAGCAATAAAATAAAAAAGAGTGGACTAGTCTTGTAAATAAGAATAATTAAAATTTTGAAGGAAAAAAAATACATATAAAAATCATTTTGTAATATTTTTTCCCCCTGCCTCAGTACAGACTATTAAACCTCAGTACAGACTATTTTATGCATTCATTCTGAGGTTTCCTCAACATGAACAGCAGAGGGCAGCACTGTCTCTTTAATAAAAGGGACTCAAGTCAAGCACTGCAGATTCAACAACCTGGATGTTGCACCCAACCAGCAGCCATTTCAAAAAGTTGGGCATTAGTGGGGAGGTAATGTTTCTGCCAGCATGCTTTGGTATTGTTCCCTAAGGCATCACAGGGTTTGGGGAGGATTGTGCATTTATTGAGGCATCATAACTGAAGTCCTACATCTCAGATGCAAACTATTAGTTAAAGTCTCACAGCTTTTCCTTGTGCCAGTCAGCAGGAGTTTTACAACAATTAGAGTTATGCGTGTAAAAAAAAAAAAAAAAAAAAAAAAAAAAAAAAATAGACAATGAGTCCCTCTCAGCTTCCTCAGGGCTTGATCCTGGAAAAACCACAGGTCCTCCCACCCATCTCAAAGACCACATCTCGCCTGATCCAGGTTACGCTTCTGAAAGAAAGTCTTCCCAAACTCATAAGTGCTGATCATGACTGCACAGGCGGGAGCAACTTTGATCACTCTTGGAAGAAAACCTGAAAAAAGCAAAGCTGATTATTGAAATGTACACCAGTCTCACTGTTTCAATAATAAAAAGTTAAAGCCATGGTGTGTAATTTCTAATCCAGTTGGGTCTTGCACCAAAACATTGTTTAAAAAGAAAACAAAAAATAAAACAGAACAAAGCACCTAGTATGCTTTGGAACTTTGCTTTGAAAATGTAACAAAGCACAAAGTGACTCTAAAGAGAGTTATTCTCTTTATCAGTAAAATCGGATCCTGTTTTGGGAACGAACACTTTACAATATTCCTCATTTAAATTATTTAAATAAGGCTGGCCTTGTTGAATTGCATTAGCAGTGGGTTGAAACTTGCCGTTATAGTGTAGGCGGTGACATTTCCGAAACACACTTGAATCAGTTGACCAATCACAACACACCGGTCCAGCCAACCAATCAGATCACATTGTGCTTTTCAGAAGTGCGTAATAGACTGTAGAAATTAGAGCTTACCTGCAAACAAACCCCTGTATCCCATGTCAATCCAGATATTCCTCATCATGTTCCATGTGGAGGCTGGTTTCTTATTAGAGATTGCTGAGAAAGGTCAAAATGTCATGAAATTTGATGCCTGATAAAATGTAACTAATTCTAGCTTAAGTAATCAGCACTTAAATTGTTTTTAAAGAGAGTAGTCATCTATGAGATCATGTCACTCAACCTTCAGGTTGAATTACAACACTCCTTTTAACATATTAAGAGGTGAAACTACAGATGCTGCCATACCTCCGACAGCATCCATTTCCCCTAACTGGATTTGCCTGCGCGTTTTCACCACGTCAAACGGCAGGGTCAGAGCTGCAGCGATCTGTGTCAAAAAGAAGGTTTTCAGAAAAAAAGAATCAAAGCAGTGCAACTGTTTTCAACATTGATGTGTTTCTTTAACAGCAAATCAGCATATTAGAATGATTTCTGAAGGATCATGTGACACTGAAGCCTGGAGTAATGATGCTGAAAATTCAGCTTTGCTATTAAAGGAATAAATGACATTTGTTTTCTATTTTATTATAATAAATGCAGCCTTCGTGCACAGCAGATACACTTAATTATACTGTTATATTCACAATTATACAACTCTCATCACTGCAAAACCAATTTAGTTCTAAAGAACTTCAACTATGTAGTCATGTTTTATGTATGTAGTAAGATAATACACAAAATATCACTTGACCAATTAGTTAAGTGCAAAAATTTCAATGCAAAAGATCACTCATGTCCTACATTCATCTGGGACAGAAGTCGACCCAGCATTTGTTCTCACGTAAAAAGCCTTTATTGTAAATCAGTCAGGCCAGATAAGATATCACGCTCTGTTCACATTGTTTAATCTTTTTTCCCTCACTGTAGCCTTATGTAATCATTCATAAACTCATCCATATTAATTTACAGCTATTGAGTTCCTTCTTTTAATGCATCATTTAAAATAAAAGTCATCAATTATAACTGGCTTTTGAGAGTGAGGTGATACTGGGATACTCACAGCTCCTGAGACGGCCCCGGCTGTAAAACTGATGGTGAAGGAGGTCTGTGGTGCACTGTTCTGCTCACACAGCTGTGCCTTCACTAGCTCATAGTTAAACCAGTACAGGGCTGATGGTGGGGGAAAAACAGTCAAGCACTGCATCTGCGGAACATCCCACTGCCAGAGAATGTACAGGTCACTGACCTGAAAAGGGCACGTCCCGTAGGACAGTGGGACCCCAGCCTCTCCAGAGAGATAACCAGCCATCCTGAGCCACAGACGAGCGGATACACACCATCAGCTCGCTGTATGGGAGCCTGCGGGACTGCATCTTAGTCCGAACCAACTCCAGAGGACTGATGACAGACACTGCTCCCACTGAGCAGCACAGAGAGGAGACGTCAATAACGTGACAGCAGAGATCACAACACAGCAGTCACGATCAAACAGACCAATTCAAAAGTACAAAACTGGAGATGCACCAACATTTTGCAGCCGTCTAAAATACTACATTTATTTTTTTTTAAATAAACGTGAATTTACAGTATTATAAATGTACAACTTGGATTTTCTAAAGATACATTTAACTGTGTACATACTTTTGTTCAAAGGTTTGTGATCAGTATGTATTAAAAAAACTTTTATTGAACAAGAATGGGATTAAATTGATCAAAAGTGACAGTAAAGATTTTCGAAAGATTCTATTTCAAATAAAAGCTGTTCTTCTGAACTTTCTAATCGTCAAAAAACAATATGACAAGTTTCCACAAAAATATTAAGCTCCACAACTGTTTTATACATTAAAAAAATATAAGAATTGTTTCTTGAAATCGTCATTTCAGAATGATTTCTAAAGGATCATGTGACACTGAAAATTCAGCTTTGTCATCACAGGAATAAATTACATTTGAAAATATTTTGAAATAGACGACATTTATGTCAAAAAGTAATATTTCAGAATATTTCTGTATTTTTGATTAAATAAATGCAGCCTTAATAAATGTGAGCATAAGAAACTCTCAAAAACATCTTATGAACCCAAACCTCTCAATGTCTTGTGCAGAGTAAGGGTGCATACAGAGCCAATAGCCCTATTAGTGCAACTACAACAACTGAACAAATCCATATCATGGCAAGAAACACTCAATTAAAGAGAAAAGACAGTCCATCATTACTTTAAGAAATGAAGGACAGTCAACCCGAAAAATCTCAAGTACTTCAAATGTATCCCAAGTGCAGTTGCCAACGCCATAAAATCCTATGATGAAACGGGCTCTCATGAGGACCGTCCCAGGAAAGACCAAGAGCTAACTTTGCAGCAAAGGATAAGTTTCTTAGAATAACCAGCCTCAGGCCCCGTCCACACTACTGCGTTTTCGTTTAAAAACAGAGAATTAAAACGAAAACGATCTCCGTCCACACTAGCGTTTTACCTGCGTATTAGAATTTATCTCCGTCCACACTAAAACGACTGAAAACGTGGATCACGTGACCATTCACCAACACTGGGCATGCGCGCGCCGGTGTAAACAGTGGTTGGCGAATCAGGGAAAGATACGTCATGACTGATGACACCCAATCATAGAGCCGAGCGTGAGCCTCTGCGTCATCATTTGTAAACTCCTCCGTTTTGTCTCGTCCACACTAAAACGCCCTCCGGAGATTCAAAACGCAAAACGCAGCTGCAGCGTTTCTAAACTTCTCCGTTTTAGGTCTTCGTTTTTCCCGTTTTAGTGTGGACGGGAGGTGCAAACGTTTTTAAACGAAAACGCAGTAGTGTGGACGGGGCCTCAGAAACCGCCGATTTATAGACCACATAAATGTTTCTAGGAGATCAAGTGGCAGACATATTTCAACATCCATTGTTCAGAGGAGACCATGTGAGTCAGTACAGTGCTGCATCAGATGACCTGGCCTCCACAAATCACCCGATCTAAATCCAATTGAGATGATTTGTGATGAGTTGGACCGAAGAGTGAAGGAAAAGCAGCCAACAAGTACTCAACACCTGTGGGAACTCCTTTAAGGTGGTTGGAAAACCATTGTGAGTGACTACATAATGAATCTGATAAGAATGCCATGAGTGTGCCAAGCTGTCATAAAAAAATAAATGTGGGTACGCTGGAATATCTAAAAACATGTTCTGGCTGGTTTAACACTCTTCTTTACTACGCAATTCCAAACATGTTCTTTCACAGTTTGTACTAAAAGTACAATGTTAAAAAAATAAAGAAAAACCCCTGAAGGAGAAGGTGTGTCTAAACTTTTGACTGTTACAGGCTGCACATATATTTCTTGATTTGAATTAGATGGCAGCAAATCTAAAAGTAAAAACGGGGGAATGATAATGCATATTTAAAGCAACACCAAGTAACTTTTCCTCTGCGGTCGCCCTACAGGTTGGAAGCGGAATTGTTCATTACCGCTGTCATTAATTTAGCCTTACTGTCGCACACACGCTTGTTGTTTATCCAGCACCGGATTTGAAATGAACGATGTCCACAGACAAGGTAGAGTATGTTGCATGATTTAATGACAGTATGATGTATTACGAAACGAAGAAAAACAAAATAATGACTATTGTAAAGCTTGACGTACAGCAAGTCAAATTTGTAGTTTTGTTATGTCTCATTAGAAACCTCGACCCAATCTGGCAATCTTACATAGCGTGGTTATAGCAGAAAAAGGACCGCAAAGCAGAGGCATAAGTGCCTTTCACCCTGTTACGACTTGATGAAACCACTGATTTCGGAAACATTATTTTAAGGTAAAAAAATCTTACGTAGTGTTTCTTTAAATATCCAATAGTGACAGATATGTTAAATATGCCAATACATGATTTATTATGCAGGTTTTTAGCTTTGTTTGGGGATGCACATATATATATATCATTTTTTTAGATCTTCATAATACACATTACAGTTCTGCAGTCTTGTAAAAGATGCTTGTATGAGACAGGAAGGACAAGTAAGTACTCACATCTCGCTAACCCTCCTGCTATAAGGGGAATATGGTCCCCTTGATAGCCCATGCTGTAACGCAGAAAGTCTCGCAGCTGATCATAGCAGGTGAAGTAGATGACCGTGGCAGGAACTGCCATCACCCTTCAAATACAAACACACCAATGAGTATATTTCACTGAAAACAGCTTGTGCACGAATTACAAACGCATGTTATTTTCAAGGACTCAGAGTTGTTTTTATTTGCTGGTTTGTCAGGCTTTTCGGTCAAGTCAACTTGATTATTTACAGTCAACTTTAATCATTAACATGTTATTTATAAACGTACAGTCAAATACGCTTACACAGAATTTCGGTTATTCAGTAAACAGCATGACCACTGTAGTCGGATTCACAACTAATGACTACGTTATCTGAGAGTTATCTGTCTGAATCATACAGAATCCTTCACTCAATGATCTTTGAATCTGTCAAAGCATTTGCAGAATTGACCCTTTGCTAAGCCCCGCCCTGCGTAGTTACTGTTGCTACGCCTGTCAAGCTTTCGCGGCTGGCCCATCTATTATAGTGTGGATGCACCCGGTGTCAGACATTCCCAATGAGATAATTGGTAATTTTCGGCGAACAAGTGAAACATCTGAGAGAGCAAGACAAAAGGGACTACAGTATGCATTCGAGGGATATATTCACGACATTATATGCAACCGATTAGAGAATAATCTCTTAAAAATTTAAGTTAAAGCCTAACGTTATAGTCCCAGTGCAAGCAGCAGCGCCTCATACGCTGACCGTTCAAATGGGAAACACAAATTGAGGAACAGCTATGTTCATACACAGCAGGGTATGTGAAAATAATCGTAATAATTATAAATCAAACAGCTTATCAATAAATCTTGTGAAATAACACTAATACCGGGAGAGCCGCGATCGGATTGGGTTAAGTTAGGGGACGTCGATTAACAAAATACTGAAATATATTTTAAAGTAGCCTATGTCAGTGAGCCTTTGTCTTGTCTCTTTAATCGTCTTATTTTACGTTGTATCATTAGGACCAAAGAACCGTCAATATTTCCAAGCAATAGAATAGGTGTTTTTGTTAAGCATGTCGACATTTACCAGAATGGATCTCGCACATAGATGCTTGATCACGCCAATCATTTCTCCCCTTGGCTTTTAGATTTTCTGGAAGGAAAACAACTCCTCTCCCCCGTCCAAACTTTTAGTATACCGGTATCAGATTTGCACAATCCATACGCACAATGCTTCAGCATGTTCCCTCGTTCGAAAGCTTGACAGACCTCCCGCGCATAGTTACGGTTGCTAAGACATGATTGGCCAGTGGCGGTTTTCGGGCGTGGCTTAGCGAAGGGTCAATTAAAATCTCAATTTTTCTTCTTAAATCTTAATTTAACTTAATTACTACGGTTTCTTTATTGAGAACAGTGCTACATTGCTGTAGACTTTCCATCCAAGTCTGACTAAGGGAACTTTTCATTGCAATTTTATACTTATTTTAGTAGGAGGGATTTACATCGAGGAAAACTAAGAGTCTCTGAAACAAAGCATGTAAACGAGCTGAGAAACGAGATCCAGGTGGGCAGGGCTTCCCACACTGAGATAAGAACCTCAAGACAAATGGTCTCTGTATACAGGTTTTCAAACCTGCTCAACAGGGCTCTTCAAACGTTGAGACACGAGAACAGGACAAGCAGGCCACCTCGTACCGAGACCTTTTACTGAGATTTCCTGATCTCATCATTTATGAAATTTCTCAAATACTATTGTATTGGAATCTAAATTAACACTAAACTACAAGTCATTACTTTTAGCAACAGCCAAAAGTCTTTGTCTGAGCTGCAGTTACAGCACAAATAGAGGCAACTGATGAAGTAAAATTAAAGTACGCAAGTCAAGCAGTTTATTTGTGACATGATGCTGGACTTACAGTGTGGGGGGAAGCCCGCTCCACAAAGACCTGATCCCCTCATTACGTGTGATCTTAACAAATGCATCCTGAAAAACAAAAAGTAAATGAATCATGAATGTGTCATTACAAAAACTTAATCACAATTTGTAAAAGTGCAAATAAATTGTTACCACAGTCCCGCTGAAATGGGTGGGGGTTTTGTACCAGCTGGAGCAGCTTGACATATTCTGACACACATAGACATGGTCCATCAACCCGTTACAATAGAGGAAACATTTCCCTAAAAAGACAAAAAAATATAGTAGCGTAAACCTAATTTGTAATACTTCTGCAAATACATTGCCAATGGCCACAAGCACCCAAGTACTCAGGAGTATACTCTCTTTGTAAATCTAAAGCATTTCTCTATTTTATTACTTATGAATGGGAGAAAGGGCAACACGAAATATGGCAGAATAAGTCCCGCCTTCTAAAATAAAAAACCCACTCGCTGATTGATAAAGTCATCGTGTCAACTTTGGTTGCTTTAGAAACCGCTAATGTTCAGAGACTCGCTCTTAAGACTGCGTAGCCTGAAAACATGCAATTTTTAAATGCTATTTGAGCATGAGAAACAACATTTATGGGACAGTTCATGTCAGATTTTGTTTGCTGATTTGAAATATGTCATTTAATTGAGTTTTTGAGAGCAGTTAAGTAGTTCTTGAGTAATTGAGTAGTTCTTGAGAGTTCAGGAATCCCCCATTCAAATAGAAAGGACTTGGTCTTGGATGCCCCAAATAGATGTCTACAGGTGTTGCAAATATGGCCGCCAAGAGAATAGAACTTTCCTTGAAAGGGACATTTTTGTGAACTTATTTTCAACTACAAAATACTTCATTTTTAATCGTGTAATTGGCTATTTTAGAACTTTGAGTAGAAACTGAGTAGGATTGCTTAAGGTTGGGACAGCAACTGTACATGTATGAGTTTAAGTCAACATTCAATGGAAATTCGCCCAATCTATTTTGTAAGTGAATGTTATTGATCTGATTGTGAATGACTCATTCAGGCATGCCATTATTTTCAATCCACATGTTATAATCTTCAGGTGAAACCACAGGCTTCTCTCTGGTGACGTATTTTGGTCAGCTTAATCCCCTTACAATAGACTGCAAGCTTGCATTCACATCAGCCTCCATCCAATCAACAACCGATGCCTAGAACCAAGTCACCACCATACTTTTCTGATAATCTGTTTCACTCAGATGTAGATCAAACATGGGTTGGTACTGCCACAATACAATTGTACAATTGCCACAATTGACAATGACTCCAGGATTGTTGTATTTGCAGACATAATGTGTAGCAATGTGATACAAGTTTTCCAAGCAAGGCTTTTCTGATAATTTCCTGCATTCGGTTCAAAGGATTGGTGATTAGGACTGAGGTCTTAGATAAGAGGCTCTATAAATATTAGTTGCATTGACCACGCTGTGGTAGTCTAACCAGGCACAAAAAAGCCTACTATTTTTAGACATTACACAAGACAGGTTCAAGGTAGATCTGCCTGGCATGGCTTATAGTTTGTCCTCATGAGTTCAGTAAATGGTCCACTGCTGTAAACACACTGAATAAACATTTATATTCAAGCAGAGTAGACCTCCGAAATATTTTCTGAATGCATTTTTCAACTTGTTGGGGTGTTTTGTGCACACGTGTCATGTCTGTTTGCAATGTGACCTTGCATTTACCCCTTTAGAGATGCATTATACAAGCCAAAATGTTATTAGCACTATGTGATTTAGATGTTTTGCAGAATGTGTTTGTAATTCAAGTGGTAGTTAGTGAAGCAAGCAGATGATCTTTGGGAGAGGGCCAATGTGCACAGATGCGAGTTCATTTGCTTCACATACTCACATTTTGAAGGGCGGATGACCCCAGCCCAGGGCCTTGAATCCGCTGCTAGTGCTACGAGAAAGAGAGAAAGAGAAAGATAGCTCATAGTGCACATAGCAAATGCAAAACAGCATGAGGTCTGTGTTATCAAGGGCTTACAGCAGGTTTTTAGATATAAACTTAATGTGCAAAAGTTTGGGGTCAGTTTGGCTTCAACAAGAATGCATTCAATTTGTCAAAAGTGATAGTTGAGTCATTTATAATGTTACAAAAGATTTCCATTTGAAATTTAAAATTTTTAAAAACATCTCTTATCTTCTCTGATGCAAACTATAAAGACCCCAATCTTTTGAATGTTAAATGCAGCTTCATTTTCACTGTTAATTAAGCTCGAGTAGTTCTAATTATTTTATTCCAGCTTATTATACAGAGAGTAAGCCATTTGTAGCCTTTACAACATTAGCTCTGTTAGTAACCTGACACACCCAACATGGCACCAACTCAACCCATGGTGAGAGTTTGGGGCAGGACTACGTTTAGCACACATTGGCAGACATGGTGTGTTTGAAAAACCTGTATGGAATCAGAGATTTTGCAATGCTAGTGGCAGAGAAAATATTCACTTGGCTTCAAGAGAAGAAAAAAAACATTCAGAGTACATCAGCAAGAGATAATTCCTCAGATGAGACCATCTTTTGGCGCTATTCTAACTTGAAGACTTATTTAAGCATTCGAAGGGAAATTTGAAGCACTGGTTGTAGAAACACTGGAACTAATATATTGAACTGGTGTGACTTGTATAAAGTCGAGAAAATGCATTAAGTTTACTGTTCCATTATCTGACATTCTGTCTGTGATCAAAAATTGAAGAGCTGCTTAAGAACTTCACCTTGATAGAGGGGAGTTTGCTGGGTTTGAAGTCTGATCTTCACTACATCCAATGGTGTGACTGGGGGAGGGAGAAAAACAAAGAAAGAAATTAAGGTTTAGCCTTGTATAAAAGTTTAAAAGATTTTGATTCTACATATAAAGCACAACACTAGCACAGGCACAAAGCTTGAAATGTCTAATATTAATTTTGGAAAATATATTTACAATCGGTTCCCTGTTGAATATATTTTAAAATGCAATTTATTCCTGTGATGCAAAGCCGAATTTCCACCATCGTTACTCCAGTCACATGATCCTTCAGAAATCATTCTAATATGCTGATTTGCTGCTTAAGAAACATTTTTCTTATTACCAATGTTGAAAATAGTTGTGCTGCTTAATATTTTGGTGGAAACTGATACATTTTCTTAGGAATCCTTGATGAATAGAAAATTCAAAAGTCAAGCATTTATTTGAATTACATAAATGTCACTTTAAATCAATTTAAAGGGTCCTTGCTGAAAAAAAAGTATAAATAATTTCTTGCATTGCTCAATGCAATTGATTAATACTAAAGCATTTGTATTTGATAAAATGTTTTATCTAAAACTGGACAAATGAAGGAAATGACAATAAAAACAGAATTTTCTCTAAATGGAGAAATGATTGTACCGACTCTTTTCCTCACCAAAAAGAGATGTTAGCACAGCCCCAGTGCCAGACGCCAGCATCTGCTGCACGGGCGTAATAGCAGCCAAAGGCATGACTGCAGGCCCTTCCCCCATCCTGACGGCCCACCTGAAAGACCTGAAGAGAGTATATAAATACATACATTCATTCAAGATGCTTAGGTTACATTTATTTTAATGGTCCTGTTTTTTTGCTCCTGTCATCAGGGAAACCTATTGACCTTCTCAGTCCTCTGCAAGACAATGTAATATTATCTGCTCTTAAATAATGACATTTATGCAAAAATAAAAGTGGATATGAAGAGAAAGTAACTCGTAGCAGCAGGCTTTATTATAATGGCCCTGCACAGCATATTGACATCTTATCTACTGCGAACACAGACGGGATGGGTCACCCTCCCTACTACTCCTGGGGCAGTCAGTAAACTACCTTATAAAAAACAAATCGAGCATGAGACTTTGACCGACATCGAGCGTGCTGCCTGGATGCATGCAGCTTGCATCATGTTAAGTGTCTGAACATGGGGTAGTTAGGAGAGTCAAGGCATAGTTCACCCAAAAATGAAAATTGTGTTGTTGTTTTTAAAGAAGATTGTAAACTAAACAGTTTGGGTTCTGTTTTGTTTTTGTCCATACAATGGAAGTCAATGGGAACCAAAACTGTTCTATTACGAACATTTTTCAAAATATATTTTTTATGTTCCACAGAAGAAAGTCATATGGGTTTGGAATGACATGTAAATGTCATCAGTAAATGATGACAGAATCTATCCTCTTACAACATCTAAACAAGGTGCATGATTGGATATAGTGGAATACAAGAGGAGGATTGGAGATTTTTAACTACATTAACTGGTACCATCTCCTACAAATAGTGCAAAAGCATGAACAAATGACAGCTTTAGGCTAGTAACACAGAAAGGAAAATCCATAAACTAAAAGATCAACAGAGAGCAGATAATCAGCTGTGAGCACAAAGTTGATCATATTGGCCTGACACATTTATGAGGCACAGGAAGCTAGTGACTGACTAACAGGAGAAACTGTCGAGGAGACTGTCTTAAAGGGAGACTGTGAAACGTATTGTTCACCGATGAGTCTACCTGCACGGTCTTTCCCACATCCATGGGGGTTACAGTGTGGAGAAGAGGCTTAACACCAAGAATGTTACTGCCCAGAGTGAAGCACAGGGTGAATCAGTGATGTTTGGGCTGCAATATCATTGCATTCCCTACTGTGCTTGATGGGCACATCACTGCCAAGGACTACCAAACCATGTGCACCTAATGGTACAAACACTGTACCAAAAAGGGGGTGCCATGTATCAGCATGATAATGCACCAAAACAAGACTTGTGGCAGAGTGGTTTGATGAACATTCATTGAACATCTCCCATTGGCTCCAAGTCACCAGATCTAAATATTTCTGAGCCACTTTGTGGTATTTTAGAGGAGCGACACAGAAAACGTTTTCCTCCACCTGCATCATAGTGAATTGCACTGTTCTGGAAGAGGAATGGTTCAAAGTCCTTCTAGCCTCTTGTGCTGGACTTGTATCTCTCTTTCCAAAAACGAATTGATGCTGTATAGTGGCCACAAAAGGAGGCCCTACACCATACTGATAATTTATTGTGGTTTCTAACTTTGCAAATAGTAACATATGTACTTAAAAAACAATTATTCAGGCAATGCCTTTTCAGTCACTGTTGTAAAAGTCACTTAATAGCCATATGTTCAGAATGTTTTACTAAATAACATTTCAGGCATAAAAGAGTAGGCCTAATATGGACTTCATGCATAACAAAATGATACGGCTGGTATCCTTGAACCTAAAAAAATACCACTAAAATTCAGAAATTCACAAACAAAGAACAAAACGTGCTGTCAACTAAAAAACAAAACACTAGTAGGCGATGAAGGAAGTTGATCCAAGTCTTGGGTAAGCTAAAATATTGCCTGTCTAGAACAAAGCACAATATATTTGTTCTAGTTGCCACAATTGGTTAAAACAAAACCATTACAGAACGAACATCCTCGATTACCAATACCAGTGATCTAACAACGGATCTCTTCCATTATCAGCACAGTTTCATGAGCTGTACGCTGATCGCATTAGATTCAATCAATGGCGCAAGATTGTGGCACATTGTGTACAGAGACATTAAATGAGTCCTTCTGAAGCTAATGCAGCAGAAAGGGTAGGTTATTTAAGAATAAATAGGACGGTTCATGTAGACAACTCACCTTTTGTCTAAACCGGAAGGTTTTTGTGCATCTGTTCGGTTCGTGACATTCTGAAGTGAGTCTCTCCTCCTTCGTGCACTGCAGTCGGAGAGTGAGACTCAAATGCGCACAACAGCAGCAAGCAGAGAGGGTGGTCATGAGAAACACACTGCGCCCCCAGGCGGCACAGCTCATGCCAAATACACGTTTGGAGTTGTTTTTTTGATAATGCAGCCCAGCTAAGTATTGTCACGTTTTCTTAAAGGGATACTTCACCTCTGGAAAGATGAATGTTTACACAAAATGGGTTATTTATGTAGAAGAAATGTGAAATTATTTTTTGAATTTGGAGCTTTCTAGACTGAAAAATGGCAGAAAATGTATTTTTGGCTTATGTGGATGAAAGGCGGCTGTTTGCTTCGCTGCCCTAGGAGGCCACGCCTACCGATAGCACAGCGCAGTAGACTAGTTAAACAAGTCTAGGCTACTAGTGAGTCTCCGTTATGAGTCTGCCCGAAAATGTTTTTCGAGATCGCCCAAAATGTCCGGGATCCGGCTTTTGCATTCTACAGTGGCGAGCAGGACGACTAAGGGCCGTGGGAGAACGGCGCGAGGCCGGTGGCGTGATTACCGTTGAGCGACTCCTGTGAGACACACCAGTCTCGTATCTCTCACAGAGCAGGAATTTTCTTAGCAATGTTAAAACACACATTAACTGATCTCTTGTTTAACGTTCATGTAAACACTACATTCAAATTCACCAATCGGAATGAATTCAGTTAGGTGTGCAGTGCATGCAAACAATGAATTTCGACTGCAGAAAGCAAAAGCTGAATCCCGGACATCGATGGTCGGACATGTCCGGGAAAAAAAGAGGATGATAACCCCTACTACTCAGCTTTCTCCACAGAACAAGAGCCTGCTAGCTTAGCTTTCAAAAAAAGATGGCTGACAATATGTGTACCTTCTGTGAGTGAGAGCCCACCCTCTATGGGGGGTTGAAAATATGCAGGACAACCCCTACTACTGGCTGTAGTCTTTAGCCTCTGACCAAAAAATCCTTAGATGATGCAAAATGACGATTTTTACATCATCTGAGGATTTTTTTTCCAGACAAAAAAATAAATTAATCTCTCATCTCAGGGGGATATGAGGGTGGAAGGCATGGTATTTCGAAAATACTACAGGTTTTCTACTAATACAAAACTTAATGCTGAATCCTGAAGTGTCCCTCTAAAAGTCGCTCTCTAGAAAATGAGAAATGGGATAAAAGTAAATGTAATGCTCCCAATTACACTGCAGGATGAAATTACGAGAAAGCATAACATGGAGGAATGATTTATGATTTCTAAAAAATAAAAGGATTTAAATAAAAAGTTACATAGTAAATTAATGACATAACATATGTGATTTGCACCTTTTATTGGACTGAGGAAGCAAATACATTTTTGTATACCTTACTGCCATCAAGGTTGCAGGGAAATATGAAATGCTGTTTGCTCTTTATTTTACAGTACACATATTTGACAGTTTAGTTATACAAGTAGTATGTACATTACTGGGCTAAAATAAAGTGCAAACAAAACGCTTCCTTGGCAGTTTCCCCAATGAGAAAATTCCCCAAATTGGGAGGCTGTGGGAAAAATCCTTGATAGGTTTATACGCTGACAATTCAAAAGCAATTTTGAAGTGTTTTCAGACCTGGAAAATGTGACATGAAATTAATTTAACTTGCAGAATATTGCCAAATTTTAGAGCAGTCATTTTTTTTTTTTTTTAATTTCAGCTCCATAATCATAATGCTCTATGTATGGTTTTTGTTAATGTAAAGATAAAGCTTTACCATCATCAGTTATAACTATATTCAATATCACTTTCATAAACATCAGAAATCAGTTACAACCCAATAGAAACAAAGTCTTGCTTTCAGCTTCACAACCTCAAGGTTTATTAAAAGGTTTCCCTCTCAAGTCCTTAAGAGATCACTAGCATGAAATGAGCCAATTAAAAGTGTAAACTAGTCTTGATTTTAGAGTGCAATCTCACTCTGCAGTTGAGATTAAAACGTGTCTGATTCTGCGGTTCGCTGTCAAATACAGCATCAACAGGTGAGGTCATCCATTTTTATGTGGCCACGTCACAAGGTGGTTATCACAACTGTGATGCACTTTCTATTGTACAAGACAATTTTTTGTAAAAAAAAAAAAAAAAAAAAGTTATGGAAACCAAACATCCATTGGTCTGCATTTTCACTCGGCTATTTGTTATCCAGTGTGTTTAAACAGTTTAATATTGTTCACAAATATCTTGTGAGATGTAATACTCTAAATGATAACACATCCTTACAATGCTAACATCAATGTGAAATTAGACAGAACCAGAAACAACCTTAAAGACATTGCTTCATTCTGTTTTTATTATGAGATTATAAACTTCAGACAATGCATGCAATTCTCTTCTGAAAGTGATTATAAATGACTCAATTCAAAGTGATAAGGAACCAAAGTCAAGAGAAATAAGGCAAGGAACACTTTCTGGGATTTTTACAGATTTATTTGTGAAACCAATGAAAGATTAGAATCGAAGCTTCTGGAAGAACCATTTGTTCTTGCCTGTCTTGTACCTGGAAAAAGAAAACATTCATTGCCATCACTATCACCATATGTAAAACAATGCTTATATTGATAATATAAAAGTGAATATTACATCTAGTGCACAAGATCAGACTGTTTCTACAGTCAGCACGCTTTGGACTACATCACAACACTACGAGTCAAATTCTGCCAGTCTTTTTTTCTAGATAAAATTAAGGAAGCCAATTATCTGTGCACTACACTAATCCTTAATGTAACATGTAAGCACTAAAGATCAAACAACATCCAATTTAATTGCAATTGTAAAATAAAGTAGTTCAGATGGATCTGCTGACAAACACATACCTCTCCTCAAACTTAACCTTGGCCTCTCTCCTGGCTTTGCGCTTCAGAGCAGGATCCCTGAAAACATCCTTGTTGACAACAGTTTTGTCCAGAGGAATGTCAACTGAGTATCTAAGGAGAGATGATGCATTGATTAGACAAACAAAAATGTACATAATGAAAATGTGCCTTGTTATAGTCAGCATTCATTAGACAAGGGAAATCAAAAAAAAAATAAAAAAAAATACCCCTGTCAAGACCCAGAGACAAAACATGCTGTGACAAAACTCTGAACATCAGAGCACACCCAGAGACGCCACACAACTTTAACTCACAAACAAACAAGGTAAATTAAGACATAAAAGCTGTTCTGGTTTAAACACTCTGGCTTCAAGAGGAAATGGAGTGTGCATGTAGAGCCAAAGTGATTTCAATTCACTGATTTGACCTCATATTCTTATTACAACTGTAACATTGTTTAAAATGGTCAAATGAAACTAGGGATGCACCGAATATTCGGCCACCGAAAATTTTCGGCCGAAAATGGCCCAAAAGTGCATTTTCGGTTTCCGGCCGAAAGACTTTTGTCACCGAAATAATACGGCCGAAATTTTGTCATGACGCAAACAGAAACCGCGACCTGCACGTGCTTGTCTGAAGCACCATGTCTGCGGTGCGGACGTATTTCAGTGTATCTGAACCCGCGAGGAGACAGAAGCCTTGTTTATCCACTGCTCTAAACAATGCGCGCCGCCATGACAACGACTCCGGTTGCGAGCGGGTCAAGTATAAATGCCTCAACCGTTTGGAGCGGTGCGCGCGCTGTCTGTGAAAACACGCGCTTCGGAGGCAGGCGAAAGTAAACAAGGCAGCGCGAGTCTCCACAGACAGCGCGCGCACCGCTCCAAACTGCGTTTTTGAAAGGCTCGCCATTGTACTATTCCTTGAAACAACAGGGGACGACTCAAGTAACTGTCATCTAACCAGGAATCGGTGAGAAGAAGAAAGATAAACACATGACAATGTTTATTTTTTTAGTATTCCACCACCAATACAAAAATAATCATGTTAAACCCAGTAAACCCTGAGATTATTACTTGTGACATTACAAATAGGCTAATATGTATATGAGGACATGTATGTAACGTTATAGAACTAACGTTAAATTAATGCTCTCTTAAATATGTTCTACATTCCTTAAACATGTTTAGTGTTTCACTAAACAGGCTTTTTATGGTTTTGTATGCTAAATTTTTTAAATGTAAGCAACTAATTTAGACTTGCAAACTAGGTGCTGGTGTGATGAGAAGTTCATGCTCGACTTTGTTTTTATGAGAGAACATTTAATTTTAAAACCTTTCTGCAGGCCATATTATTATTTAATGTACACATGAGTGGGGTGAATTTTATTTTATACGGTGCATTGTGCTAAATAAATATTTGTAATTGATTTATTCTTTGAAAATGTTATATTAATTTATGCAATTGTAATGCCTTGATTTTAGTAAAGTTTGTACACAGTCATAATAGCCATAAATGCAATGATACTAATAATTGGCATAATTTCTTTCGGTGTTTCGGTTTTCGGCCTTGGTTTCCTCTTTTTCGGTTTTCGGTTTCGGCCAAGAATTTTCATTTCGGTGCATCCCTAAATGAAACCATACATTTAAAAACACTCATAATATATGTAAACCCCGTAACAGGGCTATGAACCGGTTCAAAAAAGAAAAACGCCCGAAAAAAAACCCAGTAACAAACAAGTTTGAACCTTCTGAACAGAAACACTTATTTGCAATAAACAATAACCAGTTAATAACGTCATTTTATTATTCAGTTTAATATTTCCTATTTAAATCACGATGCAATGTTATAGGGCTGCACTATTCATCGAATTTATCAAGATCACAATTTTGGCTTTCCATGATCAAATTTGCGTGGTCGAGCGATATTTATCATGCGCCATTCTGTTCACTAATCACTGTACCACAACCAGGTTTTACATTTCTTCAACATCAAATAACAATGACTCTGAACTTTATCCATAAATCGAACTTCCATAGTGCATAGTTCTGCCTTTACATGTTCTCATTTGGTTATTCTGTTATGAAATATTTGTCTTTTTATTGAATGTATATTTTGAGTTTTATTCACATACATTATGCAGGTACAACACAGCGCAGTTTTTATCCAAAAATATATTTACACAATGCTAAGTAGTGCCCTGTTGAAGTCATTGTGTTGTTCACACTACGTGACGTGTAAATGATCCGCAACAGGGGCCACAAACTACACAAGCTGACAACTGCTCACAACAACTCTATTCGGTCCCCAAACCACATTGTGTCACGAAAACACATGCGAGAAGTGGAGAGGAAAATGACGGGAAACAGGAGTGGTTTATTCGAAAATGGACGTCGGGAAGAAAGTAGTGCTGCAATAACACACTACATATTTGTCACGTGTCGGCGAGGCGTCAGCGAGCCTCTTTGATGCGTTGTTGAGTAGTTTACACAAAGATTGTCGAGTGCTGAACACCCACTAATTTGCCCCCGATAACAGCTCGACCTGTTGGCGAGGTCGTCGACTTGAAAATCGGGCTTAAAATCATGTTGTGTGAACTTAGTGCTAACTGCATAAGCTCCATACATTAAGCGGCACAATCAGTCAGGTAAACCGTATGTGACGGTCAGCAAGGTACTTGGATCATAAAGTCCACAAACTTGACAATTGCAACTAAAACCAACGAACAACCATGAAGTTGCATCTATATAGACTGTCGCTCAACTTTGTGGTTAGTAGCACATTAAATTGATAAAAAGTGGCCGTAAAAAAAAAATATTACAAAAGACTTGGTTTATCATGGTTTTCAAAATAAACAGCATGACTATACAACATTGATAAATGTTTCTTGAGCAGCAAATAAGCATAATTTAGATTATATTACAGTTTGAGAGTGTTTATTGTGTTTTTGATCAAATAAATACAGCCCCGGTGAGTATAAGAGACTTGACTCATATGAGAGCAAGCATTGCTCTGAACCTGTACGAGTTATGGCACACTGTTCACAGGATGTACCTACCTGGTTGGCATGAGGTGGTTGTAGTTGAACACCTTCACAAAGGCCTTGATCTTGGACCTTTTGGCAACCTTCTTCTTGCCCATGGTTGCGGTGACTTTACGAGGATAACGATCGATGCCTGCGACCAGAGCGTGGCTGTAAGGACGGTCTGTGGTGCCATCATCAATGTTCTGAGAGGAGGAATAAGAAGAGCAGAACAATGTCAATATACACAATCAAGATGTTATGATTCTATACAAATGTAACCCTGGAAGCCATCTTTCCCATAAGATGGAGAGATGTTAAATTAAAATACCTTAACAATCACAGCCTTGCGGCCAGCATAACGTCCAGCCAGGACCATCACCACCTTGCCAGGTTTCATAAACTTGCCCATCTCTGGAAAACATGAATGTGAATGTAACATTAGCATTTATCAGAAAACAAGACACCAAGTAGCACAATACAAGCTGCTAACATCGCCAAAAACGTTGTAATGGGCAAATTAATTATGTACCAGTTATCATAGTTAAAATGAGGCTTTGAATGTAACTTGTCTCTTCGGGGAAGCACATTTATATGTCTAAGTTAGATGGCAGCTTACAGCACTATGCTAACTGGTAATTGTACAGCCATTCTAAAAGCAGAGTTTAAACAATTTTCTTAACCATTTAATGGAACAATTGCATCTTCTTCACATATTCATATGTATATTACACACGACTTATAATGAACGTATGCTGCCGCTATACAGGAATGCTATCATGTTAGAAGGCGGCAGAGACACAGTGAGTATTAAACCCATCATCTCCAAGTCTTAACGTAATATTAAGACAATAAACACTTAAAATAAGCAACAGGGATATTCTCATTCAAGGTGACAAGAAAAAAAACCCTTAGGTTTTATATCGTTGTCGATGTTCACGGATTATTTCTCGTGTATAAAACTTACTGATGGTGCTCTATGGCCGACGACAACAGGAAAGGAAGTGGAAAGCGCGATCGTGACCCTTGACACCCGCGGCGAGTGACGTATTTCCGTCGATTTGTACACGGGCTTTGGTAAAACAGAATAAATGTTGAATAAATACAGCTGCACATAAAAGTTTTGGATATGCGATGTATTTAGGATTGTGCAAAAATAAGAAATGCCTTCCTTTTAATTCACATGTGTAAAAAATCAATTCAATGGTGATTCTGTTTCAATTCGACGAATAAAAATCATAAAAATACATATAAATCCATATAAATGCATAATATGTTAGTGTCAAAACCATAGGGTATATGAACATTATATATATAATGTTTGTGGAAATACCTCAAACGTTTATGATAATGTGGTTATTGTGGGTTATTCATTATGGAAAATATAATGTATTATTAAAAACTACACTGAATAAAATTCTTATTTCATTCTATTTTAAATCTCATTCTTCAATTTTTCCAAACCCGGGTGATAGTAAACATACCTGGAGATATTATTTTGTTTGTTTTTACATCCTTTTAGAAATCAGTTACAAATATGTATGATATAAAATAAAACCAGTAATAGACCATTAGTAATAGTAATAGGCCAACTCTATTTTGGAAACCATTTATTGATTAATTAAATTAAATTAATTTATCATTAATGTATTTGTTTATGAGAAGAAAGTAAGAGTTAAAAAGAATGTGACTGCACCAGATTCAAAGAGCATCCAGAACATTATATCCATGAAATCACTGAAAAGACACCATTGTAACAATTAAAAATGATGGCACAATTTTTAAAAAGTGAATGTAATTGTCACTGATGTTAAATTATTGTATGTGCACAAAGATAGAAATCATTTCTGAAATAGATATGATGAACAACAAAACAGATGGAGAATCACATATTCAGGTGTAGGGGGAAAAGAGACTACATTAAATAAAACAACTAATTAAAAAAGGCAAATAAATGCATCACAACCATTCCTCCATATTCTAATAGTTTCAAAACACCAAATCAACAACAAACAAAAAAAGTTTCAAAATACCAAATTTACAGTAAATGGTAACAAACAGTCCCTTCTTACTGCATGATGGTTTCAGTAAATCTGGATTTAAGAGGGTTCAAGAACATGGAATCTATAATCAGAATGTGTACAGAAGTAGGATACAATTTCAATGATTGTAGTACATTCAATATTTCAGAGCAGTAAAGAAGAATTGACAAGACATGGAGACAGATATTCAAGCAGAGCCTTTAAACACTGGCAACGAATAACAGAACATAAATAATTCAGATAGCATATCAGTTTCAAATTCAGCAAATATGTTTGATGCACTTCCTCCCATAGCAGCGAACAAGCAGCACTACCACAAGATCAGTTTTCTACAATCAATTTTACAGTGTCAGCTGGCTGAAATGAGCAAGTTTGTGTAGAGTGGAATCCGGTGATTTACAAACACCAATGAGCATCTCTTCGTCTTTTCAGAATTGCCTGAGTGTGTTGATTGCATGCATGGTCTCTTCTCAGAAAGCCATAAGAACACAGAGCAGCAATATGATATGCACTGTCCCAGTGTTTTAAATATAATGACAATATAATGCAAATGGAAACCAGTTTTAAAAGAAAAAACATCTTATGATTTGTCTGTGATGCACGGTACAGTAACAGTCCAAGCTCAGGAAATGAGTGCATTCAGCTACATACAGTTTATGTATGTATGATATATATGCACACTGTAGTAGTGCATTTGCAATGGCCCTTGAATAGAGTTCAAGTAATACATTCTTCTATATAGTGTAATGTGATTGACACAACAAGCCCCCTAAAAGGTTACATGCTCAGGGTCACTAAACTGAGCACATTTCCTTTGAGTTGTGACCGATGCAGCATATTAAAACCTGCCTACATAATCACCCTCTTCAGTTTAAAGGAGACATCCAGGCAATCGAGCAAACAGCAACACAGTGCCTCAAAAACAGTTGCTTCACTTCCATTTTTTAATTACAGTGTACTCGTTGTTTTGGGAATATGATTTGAACTTCTGAATAAAGAGAAATAGTATTACAGAATATGCTTTTTATCATAATTTTAAACTTATGAGGGTAAATCTAGCCCAAAATGACCAAATTTATTTTTGCTTAGAAAGCATCTTTGATATTTTTCAGCTGCCTGACAGCCAAGTCTACGGGAAGGCTGAATTTGAGATGGCTGAGGCGGCCCAGGATTCGCAGGGCACCTTCAAAGCCTGTCTGGGCCATGTAGCTCCAGGGCTGGTAGTGTGAGTGTATGAGCGTCCCAGACTTACACAGCAGGTTAAACCATGACACAAGCCTCTGCTCATTGAGAGCCATGCACACTAAGGCCTTAAACTCAGAGTCCGCGCTACGCTTGAATCGCCCGTGCTCTTTGAGAACTGTATGGATGGCCCATAACAGAGACTGCTTGGGTGTGACCGTCACAGGACCGCCCCCTACGGGCAAACCGAAGGATTGCGAGAGCTGTCGAGCAGGTGATTCCACGAACGCCTGCCCGTTTTTGGAATGATAGTACTTGACGAAAAGTTCCCAAGGATGCAGGGACTGAGGAGAAGAGCTGAAGGGCAGCAGGCAGGAAATGGGGGCAAGGACCAGGCTCATGCCCTGAGAAGGAGCATATAATCCGTGGGCCAGCAGGTCACGGAGCGCAAACGCTAGCTCTTTACGCACCAAATTGGTGAGTTCGTCCCGAGGTCCTTCCAACGACAGGCAGGCAGAGTGGCTGACCACATGTTCCTCCAGAGAGCTGGGCTGCTGGCGGGAGGCTTGCAGACGCACACGCTCCACGGCTCCTTCGAGTTTCTGCAGCAAGGGACCGTAATCTTGAGCTTCAGCTCCCTGAGACCACATGTTCTGGGGCACGTGGCCTGCAGCGCATCCGAACTGGCTCAGAGCGAAGATCTGCAGAACCGCTAAGGCTTTCTGGATGAGCTGAAGCCCGGTTTCCCGTATCCTCTGGGCTTGTTCGGGATCCACTTTGGATGGGCAAGAAAGGGATTTAAAGTTACACGCCTTAGCTTTAAAATTGAATAAAATGGTATTATAAAGTAAAGTATAATTACCTCGCTTCATCCCTCCAGTGGCTCCAGAGTTTGGACCGGCTGCTTGAGCCTGCTGGCTCTTCACACCATCATTTAACAGAGGGTTCCCCACTTCATCTGCGAGGAGCATGATCAGGACAGTAAATATATTTATTTTATTCTACATAGGCACATAAAACTCAAAGGTAACAAAGGTCAGAATTTATGCACAGGAAACTGCAGATAGACTACCATTCAAAAGTTCAGGGTTACTAAGGTTTTTTTTTTAACTTAATATAGTAATTATACTAATACTTTTATTTAGCAAAGATACAATTGCAGAGACATAATATAACAAAAGATATCTATTTCAAATAAATGCTGTGCATTTGAGCTTTCTATTCATCAGATAAACCTGAAAAAAATTATCACGGTTCACCCAGGCCTGAGACGAGAGTTCAAGAGATGCGCGAGAATTTAACTGCTTCAGTTCAGTTCTCTACCATGTGTCATGGAAATCTCTAGAAGTCTCGTCTCAGGCCTACAAGGAAGAAAAGGAATAGTCGAATAAAGTCGTTATTTTTGTTTGTTTTTTCACACAAAAAGTGTTTGCGTCGCTTGATAAACTTGTACTTGGGCCACTGTTATCACATGGAACATTTAAACATTTTCTTCAATGACTTTCTGGTCCGTCAAGTTTCGATCCCTTAGGCAGCCTATGTAGCAGCAGTGATCCACCTCTCAAATTTAATCAAAAATATCTTCATTTGTGTTCCGAAGACGAACAAAGTTCTTACAGGGTTGGTACAGCATGGGGGTGAGTAATTAATGACTTAATTTTCATTTTTAGGTGAACTAAGCCTTTAAGCAGCACAACTGTCTTCAACATTGATTGATAATAAGAAATGTTTCTTGATTAGAAAATCAGCATATTAGAATGATTTCTGAAGGATCAGCGACACTGAAGACGGTAACACTTTTTTTCGATAGTCCACTTTAGACATTCTACTAAATATAAGTAACTTTTCAACTACATGTCAACTAACTGTCATTAGAGTATTAGTAGACTGTCAGCTTAATATCTGCTAATACTTTATTTTGTTGGTCTCCCAACAGACATTCAACTGACTAACTTGGCGACTACAAGTAAACTTATTCTCCTAACCCAAAGCCTAGGAGAATAACCTAAAACATAACCAAAATAACCAAAACACCTAACTATAACCTAACAGTCTACTATAATATACTGTACTAATACTCTAATGACAGTTAGTTGACATGTTTAAAAGTTACTTATAATTAGTAGAACGTCTAAAGTGACTATCGAAATAACGTGTAACCCTGAAGACTGGAGTAATTATGCTGAAAATTAAGCTTTGCCATGACAGCAATAAATTATATTTTAAAGTATATTGAAATAGAAAAGTTTTATTTTGAATTGTAATATGCTGTTTTTACTGTATTTGTATTACTTGCTAAACAATTGCTTGGTCACACCACGACTTTGATTTAGCAGACAAATGTGATTTTAAATATCATTAAGCAATTAAGTAATAATAAAATATGCAACCCCCCCCCACCCCCACCCCAATAAACTTATCAAAGGAGGAGTATATTTAGGTCACTGACTGTACTACACAGTATAAAAATACATTTGAAAGTACTTTTGAATAAATTATGAGAAAAATAAGCACCATTAACCCAAAGCAGACATCCTCACCCTGTATGAAGTTAATGAACATTTCCAGGTCTCTGATTTGGGTCTTGAGCTGCTCAACCAGCTGCTCTTTGACTCGAGCTGGGTTGACTATCTGAGCTATGGCAGAGTCCACTCTCTGTCGGAGCTCCTCTGGTGTGAGGTTCCCAATGTCTTCATTCAGATTCACATCCAGCTTCTTTATTAGCTCATCAATGATCACCTACAGTGTTAACGTGAACAGACGCTAAATAAAATGCCCCAACAATGGTTTAAGGGTAATTACTCACATCTTCAAATGACTTTCATAAGGATGTCAATGGTATGAGAGAGTTTTATAGTCATACCCTCTGCCTTTCCATGACGACAGACTGAGGCAGTGAGTCATAGCTGCCCTCCTGGTAGGCGAAGCGTTCCAGGTCGTCGAGTTGGGTCTTCAACTGGAAAATCAGTTCTTTCTGCTTCTTTCTCTGAGCTTCCAAGCGCTCCCTCTTCTCCCTTTCACTCTGCAGATTATAAAAGCATAAACACAACTTAAAAAACCTAAAGTCAACCTTAAAATAACCACAATGTTTACATTGTATCTAGCTGAAGATATTTGCATATGCTCCGTTGAAGGATAATGAGCTTTTAATTGGTTTGCCTCATTTGGCTTAGCTTTGCTTATCCCGACATGTAATTCAATTCAGAACAGACATAACCATAATTAGCTGTACACACAACGTGGCTTTAGTTTAAGCATAATCCTGTAAATGTAATGCAAAAAAATAAAAAGAGAGAACAAATCTAAACCAAGTATGAATGGTTTCACATAGAATTACTTCAAATAAACACTAAGGTTTAAAGAAAAGACTGCACAAGGGTCATGCTCATGCTATAGTACTCACCAATTCATCCTGCAAGCAAAGTGTGCAGAGGAAATAAGGAGAAAGGAAGGCATTTTAATGGCAGTAACAAGATACTCCAGCGTACGAGGAAAAAAAAAACAGGAAAAAATACAGGGAAAGAGTGACATTCAAATGTTCCTTGTGCAGGGTTTACTGTGATTTTTATTAAAATACTGTGCTTTTTTTTTTTTTTTTTTTTGCAATACTTGGCATGTTGATAAGGTGCTGATTGGCACCAAAAAATAATCTTTTTAACAAAAGAGATGCAGACAAATTGAATGCTGGTTCCTGAGGGCAAGCACAGTGAGTTTGTATAGGCTGATAATGTGTGAGTGGGGGTGTGTGTGTATGACAGGTGAATATTGTTAGTTAGGAGCTACTGAGGAGTACTGATGCAGGCCTATTGAAAACAAAACAAAACAAATGGCACTGTATATTAGGGGTTTTCAAACTGGGGTCCATTGAAAAGTACAGAGAAAAACAAATAACAATGCTGAACTTAGCTGCTTCCTGCTTGGCTGGGCTGTTGTAAATCCCAAAACAGTCTTAGCTGACTGAGAGCCCAGCTAACGTTAACTGTATTAGGCTGGTTAAATGTTTGTGTTTCACCCTGCATGATAGAGATCGGATCCACTACGACAGTAAACAATGAAACTCACAGAGTTTTCCAGCATCTGAGCATCCTGTGCTCTGCACCCGATGACATGAGGGCATCCTTTGAAAGCAAAGTCCTCCAGCTCCAGGAGCATCCGCTCTTTCTCGTCGCCCTGCGCGTGGACGATCTGTTTCAGTCGAAACTGCACTTGAGCGAAGTGAGACGTTAACGCGAGGAGCGATGAATTCAGCTGCTCCTGCTCATCCTCTAGCTTCCGCACCCTGACTACCATGTCTGCATCGCTGGACAACACGGAACCAGCCTGCGTGACCCTCTTCCACTGCTCATCCTCCGGGCTGGCCACGGCTCCTACGGGCGCCCAGCGCTCCCCAGCTCCCGCGAAGGCAGCTTCGCTGTCGGAAGTGGACAGATCCTCCGTCGACATCTGACTGACAGTTGAAGACAGCCTGGCTGCCCTTTTACACAAAACAACTTCGATCAACTTAATTGATGCGCAGTTTTTAATGTGAATTCATAATATACGCGACTACTCCTTCAGCAGGTGCAGCGCGGTGTAATACGTCTACAGAAAACATTTGCAACGTAATCGAAACGTCTAAGATCTTGCTTTAATATGGAACCAAAGCAACAGAGTTCCAACAGACGTGTCGTTCTATCAATATGTTCTATGTATCAACGAATGTGTGGGCAGGATGTTCACGTCAGTGCGTAATGACGTCAGCGAAACGCACAGTTAAATCAGTTTGTTGAGCGTTTCTGTCCATATTTACTCTTAGTTCAATTCTCTCTCTGTTTGTTTTAATTTAACGCCCTACGTTTCAGTGAATTGGACTGCGTGCCAAACACACCCTATTTTCTGCCCCAGCAGAGATTTTTATTGCTACCATCGACCAAGGAGATAGCCTAAATAAGTCTCCATCTTTCTTTCTTTCTTTCTTTCTTTCTTTCTTTCTTTCTTTCTTTCTTTCTTTCTTTCTTTCTTTCTTTCTTTCTAGAAAGTTGTACAAGCAGTAACTTAGGCCTACTTGATATAATACAGGAGAGAACAAATATTTGTAGGCTGCTTTTACAAAATGTAACGTCAGGTTCCTCAAAAGTGGCATGCATACAAATTAAATAGCCTATATTAGGCTATACATACACACAATACATTTTCACATAATATGAAAATATTGTTGAAATAGAAAAAAAGTTCACTGTCTGTCAGTCACTTCGAAAGTTCAATGGAATGACACTAGGGGTCGTACTTGACTTGGGAGCCCCATGCCACACTCCTGATTATAGACTACAATCTAACACCTCTGAAAGGGTACACATTTTTGTCCTTCCTTCTCACTTTCTGGATGCAGTCGACACCTGTCTGTCTCCGTCAGATGCCACGATTGGTGTGTCAGTTATTTGGCCTGTTCAGCCTGTGCCCGCATGCTGAAGCAGTGTTTGTACATGCACTCCTATAAGATTTTTTTTGTAGTGTTTTGTCAGCAGAACAATTCAAAAACACATTAAATAACCGTGTACAACCCACTGAAGAGATGCATGTCTGTCCCTCACAGCCACGCTTTCATTCCTGTTAAAAATCAAAGCTGGCTCTGTTGTCAATAAGGTCAATTATGATATGGGAATAAGGAAGCATGGCCGTGGGAACGTTCTTACTATTTTTTGAACGGAAGTCACTCCAGTTGCTCCCCGTCCTGGTCCTTCGGCCGTCAAGCACAAAACCACACACTCTGGAGGCGATTTGGGGGCTTCAGTGGATGCATTTCCATTGAATCCTAAGGCATTCCATTTCGCAAACACACTTGTTTCAAGTTCATGGATGAGTTAGGCAGTTCCCCTGCGGGTGAACTTAATTTCTCATTCAGTGCTCGACTCGTGATGAGTATAAGTTGTCAATTGTAACATCAGAGGGTTAGTGTTTGCCTTCTGATTCGGAAGACTCACCTTGGCCCACCATCAGGTGTGGTTGCGCAGACTAGGTCTGACACTGAGATGGACATCGTGCTCGAGTGGACCCCTCCACCAACCCGGTCTCACCCCAAGACGTCATATAACTGACGTTTTGGGACGTCTTTTGACCATACGTCAATATTCGCCTTTTTAGGGCCCCCTTAAACGTCGGTAGATGAGGTTATGGGATCCTAACTCTACCCCATACCTAAACCTAACCCTAAACCTAACCCGTCACCTAACTGACGTTAAAGGTAAAGCGTCAGTTGTATGACGGCCCGGGATCGCCATCTACCGACGTTTAAGGGGGCCCTAAAAAGGCTGATATTGACGTATGGTCAAAATACGTCCCAAAACGTCAGTTATATGACTTTTTGGGATGAGACTGTGTTACCTCCACCCTGCACTGTGTTTGCAGTTAAATGAGCGGTTCCTGGGCCCGGAACACTGCTTGCAGCCGAAATCTGCGAGGAGGAGCTCACAAAGTCGTGGAAAGCATCTTTCACTGCCAGAACACGCTTCATGGGTTCTTCCACCCTCACTACTCTCGATGTTGGGTCATCCATGGAATACTCAGACATTCTGCAAGAACCGATGCACTGCAAACACCGCTCCCTGGAGGAATCATCTGACACTTCTGTCCAAAGCCTGTAGTTTCACGTTGTCCATGAAGACAAGAACCTGCAACGCTGCTGGACAGGCCGCCTCCACCCTGCATGCTATGAACATGCACAAAGGTGGTATTAAGTGCTGTTATTGGGAAACAAAGAACAACAGCCAATGGATGAAATATCGCAGCCTAAGCTGCTCGCACATCCAGCAGTCATAGCTCGTGAGCAGCTAGACCGTCTCCAGCACATCTCTGACCAACTGGTTTGTCGCTTTTGCCGCTCCGTTGAAGTCAATGGTCTTATTTGAAATAAACATAAGCGCAAAATCGTGATATGTGAACATTAAAGTCTCTGTGGTAAACCTAGCTCGAATAGTGTCGAGGTAAACGTATGGCGCTTTTCCACTGCTGGAACGGCTCGATACGGCTCAGTACGGTTCGGCGCGGCACGGTTCGGCTCGATTCGCTTTTCCTCTGCGTGGTACGACTCGGTTCAGCATGGCACAGTTCACTTTAGCTCGGTTTTCTTTTCCACTGCAGATTACCACTTCAAAGTGAGTAGGATTTAGTCTGATCGTAGTTTATCCACTCCTCGGCAGCCAACTAGAGGAACATCTGCACTTCGTCCACTGAACACGATTAAGCCATTACTTTTTTGGAAGTTTTCTTTTGTTCTTTTTTCTTCAAGCAAGTTGTTTTAAAACAGGTGCTACAGCAGTGGCTGACTGACTGTTTGATGTCTCGCAAATACAATGACGACGATTCTGTCTGACCAATCAATAATCTGCAGTGTTTTCACATTTTACTATCGGTACGGTACACTTGGAACCTCAACAGAGGAGGTAGAAAGCGAGCCGAAACGAGCCGTACTGTACCGAACCGTACCATGCCGTTGGAAATGCGGCACAAGTGAGCCGGACCAAGCCAAGCTGTATCGCACCATGCAGTGAAAAAGCGCGATTAATCTCACATGATCTTGAGACCCTCAAGGCTCATGCCAAAAGTTCCCACTACTCTATAGGGATCAGGTGGTGAACTTGCAAGTGCTCCCTTGTGACGAGGCAGACCCAGCCTTATCATTGCTATGTCTGGTATATGCCCTGCATGTTTTCTTGGACCACACTGAGAGCTTCAGATGCGCATTTATCCCTGAGGTGATAACATGCGCTTTTTGTCCTTGTGAGTTCCACGTGTCTGGTGCTCTTTTTATATGTTAATGACATTAATTAGGCTGTGTTTGCAAGGTGGAGATCTTAAAACATTCTGCTGCACAGATATTAGGATCATTTGAGATTTATAAACTTTAGGCTACATCTGGAAGAGAGGCATTTCTCACAGAGGAGTATACAGAAGCATAAAAGGAAGAGCAACTACCCCTGAGAGTTGTGCCACCTGGTGCATTGGAAATATTATGACGTAGCCGAGTACACTTATTAGCGTACACCTCATAGCGCGGTTCAGCTGGTTGTGGCGTTTTTACCCAGGGACCCCTAGTGTCACTGTCATCACATCGACACAATGCCGAAGTGACTAACAGAATAGGGAATGTATCTGTTCCCTGATGGCATTGTGTCCTTCCTGCCACAACACTACGTACTGAAATGGCTGAACTGTCATTGGCTCATCAGCCAACTGGCTCCTCAAAACAAACCTGAATGAGTGGATGCAAGCCACCTTTTATACACGTATGTCCAGCAGAGTGGCATGCAAATTCCACTCACCAATTGGCATTTGCCTTTTCTGAATTAGGCCTATCTGGGGTCTCTTTATAAATCTGTGTGTAGGATCCTTACTAAAAGAGTATGTGCGACCGAAAGCCAAAAATAGCATGGGCAAAATTCTCTTTATAAATCCCAGTCAGTGGAAGACTGTGCGCTGATGATTCTCCACTCCGTCTCCTCTCTGAAATAACCATATATGGAGCTTACAATACCTAGTTTTACTATGCATATCCTCATCTGCATATCATTTGCATATACATCCACGTGATAACATGTTTATCGGTAAGACGTTAGAAAAATTTGAAATATGGATGTGCTTTCACATTACATTCATAAAAATAATTGATTACAACATGGTTTCATGTAGTTTAAGTGTTTAAACTTCTTGACTTTAAAATGTATATTTTGAATTGACTAAAATCACATGTGTAATTCAGGGCACAATTCAAACGATATCATAATATTTGTTGTCTCTCACCATTGACAATATTTTTTTTCCGAAACAAGGTCACAAGGGGACTAGGCATTTGTCTACTTATTTGTATTTGTGACATATTTTTCATAAGAATCTTAAATAAAATGTATTTTTTTATATTTTATTTTTTTTTACCATGTAAATAAATTCATAAAAATGTGAAATTTAATTTCTAAATTTGAATTTTAATTGGATATTTTTAAAAGAAAAAAAAATGAAAAGAAGATACAAAAGAAATTGAACAGACAATTCTATTTCATCTATCTTTTATTTATCTTTTAGAACTGACAGGATTTCAGATCAGTCACATTTTTACTTGAGAAATCGTAGTCATTTGTCACAAAGCTCAATCAATGTAGTTAAAAACCAGTAAGCATTTAATTTAATAAAGAACGAAATTACACAAATAAAAGTAAAGATAAAGAAAATATAAAGAGGTTAATTTAATATATTTGCTTATCCAGGGCAATGTAGTCATAATCACAAGAGTGCATGATGTTAAGTCTGGAAAAAAAAGTAACATGTAAACCAGAGAGGCCTGTGACGTGTACATCAAATTACTATAACCAGTGTGTGAATTAATGTGTAAAGTCAGCTACTAAAGGTCTTCTACGCTTGTTCAAATATGTGTCACATCTTTACACTATTCCATAGTCAAATTAGTCTTCAGATAAACTGGGCAGTAACCAAAACAGTGGAAACTTATGTAAAATTATGATTAGTGTGTACACACTACAATAATGACACATTCTTAAAATGTACAAATGGCTCAATGGCTAAAATGTAGTTGGTATTACTGATGTAAACAGAACTTAACCATCAAAGTCAGTCCTCATTAAACTTTCCCCT